CAGAATAAATAATTCATTTACGCAGAATAATTATCTAAACAGCAGCAACATTAATTACCAAACTAACACCCACTTAAAGGGATTTTATTGTTTAAAAATGAAATAGATATTTTCTTACCACACTGTTAATGGGGTTTATCCAATATGGATAAACCTGGTTATTTCGTGCAACTTAATGTTTTACTTGCAAAGACAGATAACTCTTTCTTAACACTTAACTTCATAAATCATCGGGCTCGGTGCTCAAAAAATTCTTGTATGCGCATGTCTTCTAGAATATTCCTTTTTAATCTGTAATTTGAAAGAAGCAGACGCAAAAAAAATTGCATAATTTTGCAAAGAATGCTGTCTCCGGGGGGTACTGTTTTTTCAAGACTCCTTGGATCAAGATGGTATTTCTCTTGCTCATTATCTGTATTCATTTACCTATGCTGCCATATTATCATAATGATCGTCGCATACATTGTGTTATATCTAATTTATTATTAAATGGCCATGACAAGCACGCCAAAACAAATATAGTCTTGTTTTTATTGACTGTATTTTCAGACTTCTTAAACCTTTTACTGGGGTTAATCTGATCAAGTGTGTTTCTGTTATTGTCTGAGTCCAATGTCACGAAATAACCCATTGTTATTCTCGTTGCGATAAGACATTCTCAAATAGATCCGCGACGATAGTTAAATAAACTAAAGAACATTTGGTACAAATACAAAGAAAATGATATATTTCGCGACGATAATTTTTTTGCGAATTATGGCGGAATTCAAGGATATTTATCGAAATATAAACTACCTTGAAAAGTAGGTCAAAGTAAAGTTCAAAGGTCACGAAATTGGTTACCTGAAGCCGTAATGTCAAGCAATCAATGCAAGCAATTAAAATATCAAACCCCTTGAGTTTCTGAGATGCTCAAGGTTAAGTGATCCACAACTTGACAAGAGTCGCTAGCTCCCCGGGTGACATAATATGAAAATAGATTGGGATCGGTAAATCTCAACAGTCTTTCTAAGAAGGAAATTATTCAAAATGATACGTCAGTTTTATATTCCCAACATATAAATGAATTTGAATACTACACCTATACATGCTGTATTCCTTTAAATATACATAACGAATTTCAGTTAATGTTCTACCGAGCCTCTCTCTCTCTTTTACAACTCTATTACAATATTAACAGCAATTATGAAAGATGAACTTTAGGAGTACTGTACAATAATATAATTTTCTTAACTTGCGTGTTGTAAATTGTGATGAGCAATTTTGAGAAGAGCACAATGTAATAAGTATGATATTTCATAAATATGAGCTACAATAATATAAAAATGGTGTTGATTTTTTTCTGGACGTTTCTTGCAAAATTTTAACACATGAGATTGGTTAACAGAAAAGGTACTTAATTTTGTCTTGTTTGAATCACTCACAGATGAGTAAGAAGAATATAGATTAGATGATTTATTTTAAAATTGAATCATAAATATTAAGATTCATAAATCTTCTTCTCACTCATATAAATTGTTGCTTGAACCTTAATGATTTTTGGAAAAGAAATGTATTTATAAGTAAAATATAAACAATCATAGCATAGCTTGCGGGGCAAAATTGAAATAAAAGACACTTCAACTTGACAAATTTATAAAGTAATAATAGACATTTATGTCATTAAGAGTTATCTCTCTCATCAGAGTATCAATGAACCTTAAGTCACTAATAAAGAAAAAAAAACGTTTAATGTTATTAAAAAAACTACGTTCACAGAAATAAACTTTTTTTTAAAAATTGTAAACAAAACAAGCACAGTATTCCTAGCTTTATACATCTGGCAGTGCATAACAGGGGAAAAATAGTTAATTCAAAATGTACGAGGGTTGTCCCGTAAAATTGTGGACAAGTTGTCTAGTGTGAAAAATAAACATCACTGCGTTCTGAAATTTTCACTTTTATTTAGTACATATCTTAGTAATATACACAGCAAATTTCAGATAAATATATGCATAAATAAACAAATTATGAGATTTTATGCCATGTATTGTATCAACTTACGGCGCATGGATTATAACGTCAAAGTGTCTAAAACAGCGTCACGTTTTATCTTTGCTGAAAATGAAGTTGGATGAGTCCGACTTAAATTTAGGAATTTCATTGATACACATTCTTTAGTCTCCATAAACAGCCGAAGAACCAATTGGCACCCTCATGCGATCTTCTGAAGATTTATTAGTAAGTTACGGACAATATTCTCACCATCATTCAACTAATAGAAAATCTCATATCGGCGGTCTACTGTGACAGCGTCCTTTGCTATTGCATTAGGAGTTTGTCCGTATGTTTTGTACTCCCCAGGGACTCGATCAGAAAAAAACTTCCCTAAGAAAACTCCTATTTCATTTGTATACTTAAGATATGGTGATATTTTTATAATCTTTTTTCTTCTATGGTCATTTCAAGTCTCTAAAGGTGCCATTACAACATAGAAATAAAACTGAGCTGTTCTCCGGTGCGCCGTAACGTCACAAAACGTCGCCATTTTTCGTGTGTTGTATTTACCATTTTCTCATTTGAATGCTCGAGAAACTGCCAAAAATTAAGCAAATGCCTTAAAATTTTTACAAAGACTATAAAATTGATTGTGGAATTGAATTAGGATAATTTTAATCCAAATCTTATGTATTTAAAACTTTTATTTTGAATTCAAACTTGTGTATTCTTTAATAAATCCTCGGTTTTGTGACTGTGCGCCGTAGGACAATACCTCGTGCACATTCAAGTATAATAAAATCTTTATTTTTGCCTATATTTAATCAAAAAAATTATCATGCACTTAAATATAATAAATAAACATTTACTGAAATTTTCAGCTTAGTGCGCCCATTACTTTTCGAGAAAAACGCTTTGTCCACGATTTTACGGGACAACCCTCGTATGTTAGTTTTTTTGTGTTCTTATAATTCATTTATGAACATCCACTACAAAAATTTTCTGATTTTATAAATGTGTAGGTTCATCAAAGCCAACTAGGATAGTCAGTTTCTCCGTTTATGTAAGGGCAAAAGATCTCTCTGTTGGAAAAGGACAGACCATTAAATATGATGGAATCTTGACAAACGATGGTAATGGATATGATGATAGAACAGGGGTATTCGTGTGTCCAGTGGCAGGAACTTATATGTTTGTTGTTGATACTTTCTGTCATGAAGATTTTTGGCTTGCCATAAAAGTAAACAAGGAAGCTGTAGCAAATGTGCACAGGAGAATTAAAGATGACGGAATTTATTTGCAGATCAGCAGAACCGTTATAGTAAAACTGAAGCGTGGTGACCATGTCAAGGTCGAAAACACAGGTACAAGCTTTATAATACATTACAATGGATATTCAGGATTTACAGGAACATTGCTCTACTAGCAGACATGAACATTAGGAAATAAGGGAAGATCTTTCACAGCCATGATAACTCAAATGAAATTCAAATTACCGAATGAAAAGGGATTTTTTACGAATAAATATTATCTCTGTAAAGACGAATGTACTAGCTATTTTGATTTGTGTTATATTAGTATTTAAAACAGTCATAAAAAGGCAATAAATAATTTACAATATTTTATAACCCTGTAAACTAAGTTTTAGCAGGGGGTATATAGTGTTTGCCTTGTTTGTCCGTATGTCTGTCCACAAATCTTTAGCCTTGCCCATAACGATGGATTTGGGTAGAGCTATGACTTTCATATTTCACAGATGAATCCGTTGTGACAATATCTTTTTTTGGATACCACTAATTTTGATTCCTTGACCTTAAAATTTGCCATACTTTTGCAAAAATTTATTACAATTTTATCTTGGCCATAACTTTTGAACAGTTAGAGCTAGGGCTTTCAAACTTCACATGTGTATTCATTGTCTAAATCTTAACATTAGTAATATCTTTTAAACAGTTAAAAATGGCTTTCATTTTCCACATGTGTATTCCTTGAAGAAGGCCTTCCTTTGGGTTCTAACACTTTTGTCCTTGACCTTTGCATTTGGCATGCATTTGAGAAAATTCAACACTCGACAAAAGCTACCATACAGGGGCATCAGTGTTTCACAAACACATCTTGTTGATGATGTTATACAAATCAAAAAGACAACTGGTGTAGGTTGAAATGGACTTTCTTGCCAGCATATTAAATACATCGGGTAAATTTACGGCTTCGTCTGTTATGCAAATTATCCCAATTTTTCCAATTATCGTTGATGTCTTGGCATATTCTACTAATTAGACAGTGATTACTTAAATACTATTTTATTAACAATCCAAACGTTACATAACAAAAGAATTTTGTGGATATTGTCATTTATTAGATGTTAATAAGTCAAATATTCATTCTGTATAATGATAACAAAATCAAATTAAGGGAAGATCCAGAAAAAAAAACTGACAGGACAAGTTGCTTATACAAAAATCTCTGAATATGAAAAAAGTTTTCTCCCCAGGTAAACAAATCTATAAAACGTTGACAAAATTAACTGAAACATTAAAATTAACCCAAATCTATTTAAAAAAAATAATAGTTTAACACTCGTATATAAAAAACAAAACAAAAGAGCAGCAACTAAAGAAAAACAGCATGTTTTCAACCCCTACATCCAGCTAAAAACACAGAAGCCTTGAAATACATACTTTTAGAAGAGTAAGGTCTTTTACAATGTCTTCAAATTTGAATAAGCTATATTGTTTAATTATGTGATTGTTTCTTGAATTTAAACGTATCTAAAATGTGTTCCGAATTCCAAAATTAAGGTAATTTTGCTATATATTTTATTTCTCAAGCTCCTGTAAGCTCCCTGCTTGCTTTGAATCAAAATCAGAGCAGGTTTGAAAAAAAATGTCATATGAATTGCACATGTTTGTTGCTATATTGAAAGCAACGATGCTGAAGTAATTATTGATAAATGTATATACTGTTTCTTCGGTAGGTAATAAACCTATTGAATAAAAAGTTGAGAAAGGGGAAAAATGTTTAAAATTTTGAGTTAAGACATTGGGTCACAGAACCGATGTAGAACAGACAAACAGTAGTGGGATATTGAGACAACAGCTGTCAAAAATCTCCATAGCTGAGGAAGATGACAAACTAAACACCCCACAGAAATCGCTACCACATGGATTCATTCCAGAGTCAAAATTGTTTATTTTATTTGTGATTAAGGAACTGGGTACCCATGGTGCACCACTGGCCCAATCCCAACCACCAGTACTGTTGAGACCCACAAGAACTCCCTTTTTCTCTCCATCTGTGAGAAATAAAATATTTAGTTTCATTGAACATGTATTTGACTGTCTATTCATAAGTATGAAAATCATTTCTCCAGAAAAAAAATCAATAAATCAATACATTGTATATCATTTGTATCTGTATATCATGCAATAAATCTAATGGTATACGGAATTATTTCTTTTCTTTTATTATTTTTATTTTGCATTGGAGATACGATATTTAAAAATACTGGGAAAAAACAAGTTTTAAATTGAAGAATTGCTCGAAGGCAGTTTTGAGAAGTGCTAAATGCGTTGTACAAGAGTGGAATTTTAAAACTTTTCGAGAGAGATTGCTCAGTATGTTCTGTACGATTAAAATCAGAAATAGTAGCCTAAATCAAAATATAAAAAGTTTAATTGCTCATAACAAACTCTTTTTACTAATGTATTAATTTGTCTATATTTGTTACTTACAATATTGGAGAATATAGGTCTTTAGGAACGTCATCTTTTGGTCTGTCTCTAGAGATATTAGTTCTCCGCCAAGCTGAGCACACACTGAGCTGGCGTAGAATGACGTTCTGTTTGTTGTGAATAATATTTTTAAACATAACCCAGCTTCTCTATTTAAAGTTAAACCAGACAGAGGACATCCTGAAAAGGAAACAAATTTAACTAATAAAAAATGTTGAATATAAAGAATACTCTTATTATAAATAACAAACGAAAAAGGCATTTTAAATATAAAATTAACATAAAATTGAGTGCATTTTAAGTAAGTCTATTTAAGGAAATCCATGTGAAAGCTTTGTTCAATGAAAAGAAATCTTATGCAATTGGTTAATGTCAGACCAAATATAAAATATTGGATGCTGTGCATTTCATTAATTCTTGTGTGGTTCATACATGTCATCAATGGCGAATTTTTTAATGATGAAGAAGGGAATAAATGGATAATTTTATTTTTTTTAATTTACCCAAACTGCTGATTTTCTCTAGCTTTGCAAGAAATGAAATACCGCATTTATTTTTCAATATGTTTTAAAACAATTATATGACAGCAAATATTTGTGTCAAATTCAATACTCTGGAATCATCAAAACTAATGGGGGGTTACTTAATTTTTACAGGTTCGTGGGCATGTTATTTCGTGTGTTCTCTTAAACCTACAGAGGAAATGTGTAACCCTAATTCATTAATATCTTGGATGAGAGGTAACCACGAATTCCAGGAAAATTAAGCCACCACAAAGTCTAACGATTCCACAGCAAGATTAATTGTATTGTAACTGCTTTAATCCTACCTTCCATTTCGTACGCCACTACCCCTGCTTCCGACAATACGGGTGTATACTCTAACAATGGATATTTGTAGAGAAAACATTTTTCGTCCTGGGGTTTGTATAAGAAGGTTTGACAACTCTTCTCATCTGTACACAGTTTTCCACATTGTAATACACTGTACTGTCCCACCTTCAGATCTAGATCATTGATCGGCAGAAAGTTGGTAAACAGTTGATTCATCTTGAAGTTTCTGATTTCTTCTTGAACTCCTTTTAGAAATAAAGATATAATAAAATTGAAATGTCTCCCAATCTAAGAATAATATTTGTCAAAAATATCTAAATCTTGCATATGTATTCTGAATTAAAATACATGCTGTATAGTTTATGTTTCAAAGAATTAAACCAGTAAGTAAAGGATTTTTCTTAGGCAAAAATTATATCAATTTTCATCCTATCTTGATAAAGCAAGAGTATCAGCGGTCCCATTTAAAGTACATGTAATCATTTCGTAAGTTCTTTGGTCGAAACAATTACCTGGTCAGGAAATACAATTTATCAAGTTAAATGTTGACTGATGTTTTCTATACTGATTGCGCAATTTTCACACACTGAATTGTCCACGAGTTTTTCCTTTTTCCGTGCACGACAATGAGCACTCGGCGGGTGTGATGGACAGCATGGGGTGCTCACTCCTCCATGGCAGCTGATCCCACCTCTGGTGTTATGGAAGTCCGTTTTTGCTCTGCTCCTATTTGATAATGTTTAATGGACTTTTGTGCTCGGAGACTGTTCGTTATCTCCACATATTTTTCAATTATATTCTTATATTTTTAAAAAAAATCAAAATTTTTAAAAACCATTTTTCATTTACCAATTCATAGTTTTCATTACGATGTTTTATTGATGTATGTGTAGTTTCCTTCTTGGTTATTGTTCCGTTTTATTTGGCCCTTTTCGGCTTGTTTCATTTTTGCTAACTTGTTTGCTATTTTTTTTAAATATGTTGATTCTTTTTAATATAAAAATCAGTCTTATGCTTAAAGGGGATCTTTTGCAAAATTAAGTGTTCATTTTTTTTTTAAAGTTGCTCATACATATCTTTTGTGATAAATATACATACACTATTATAGTTTAGTTCGCACTCAGATCGAGTAATTCTGGGAGTGAATTTTGGTTCCCTTTTTTCTTACTTGCTTTCTCGAAGAATATGAAATGGCCTTATTTTCCTTACTTCGATTTTTTTACTTTCCAATATATACTTAGCACTAATTAAGAGTACTTTAATCTTGGTCAAGAAACATTGGATTTGCTTTCAGTATAAGGAAAGGTGAAATGCTTAATTAGAAAATTGATATTTCGGTATGTACAAACATATTACGTCTACACAATAAGAGCGTTTTATTGGCACAAAATATGCAACAACTACTCGTTTATGGGAATAAAAGGTGATTATTTATTTGATTATGTATTTCTAGTTCCTTTATTTCGTTTGTTACAATTTTCATAGTAAATAAAATGTTTATAAAGTAAGAGAGAGTTCTTTTAAAAGTATTTTAATTTTCACCATAGGCTTTTTTTTTATCCTATCAAGAAAAAAATATTTTCATATTATATGAATCATATTAAGTCAAAAACAAACCAGTATATTAAAATTTATTGTAGAAAAACTGAAATGAAAATGCATTAAACTATTTCTACAAAATTCATTTCTAATTTTATGTAAATATATTACAAACCAAATAAAAAGTTCTTCATTTTGTAACTGCATGAATTGTAATTGATTTATTTTAGTCTTTCTTACTAACCCAGTCTCAAACACTCGATACCCACTTTATCTGAAATCTCGATTTAAAGGAATTTTCTTCTTATTTCGAAAAATTTTCAATTTAGATGATAATTTATCATTTCTTAAGAGCAGAAATAGTTATTCTTTGAATTAGTATCTATCAAAAAAGAATAAATATAAATACATCCTAACAAATAATCAACGAATGTTGAAATAAAATATCTCTTGCCAAAATATTTTTATCGTATTACAAATTTCAAAATAATAGGAATATTGTACTCACCAAAGTGATAAAACATCCACAAAGCAATCGCAAACTGAACGAGGGAATTTCTTTTCTTCATGATTGAAGATGCTTTAACAGTTTTAACTACGTTTCTGGGGGTACTTTACAATTACAGAGGTAAACACCAAATCAGTCTATTGATTATCAGTTAATAAATATCTAGGACAAACATTTCTTCAGAAAATGGTCCTGTTAACAAGTCTAAACATTATAAAGTTATACATGTATGTATTTAAAAAACAAAAACAAAGAAAGAACAAAAAAAAAAATAATTTTAGGTAATCTTTTCTCTGGGGAAATCCGTCAAAAAAGCCAAATCTCTAAAATATTAGTAGATAGTCAACATTTAACTGAACAAAAATTGTGTATACATGTTTTAAAACAATTGTAAAGGTATGATTTTCTGACAAATACATTTTAGAGCAACAGAGGAACGCTATTCATCAAACAAAATGCATTTTGTACCCATTTTTTTTAATCTTATATTGTTTCTAAAATATTTACCCTTCTATTTCGAGTTCAGAGAAATCGTGTTTGTACGAAAATTCAATCCAAGAGTGAAATTTATCTAGATTTATTATAAATATTAACGTTTAAACATATTAGATAACATTTATCTTTTTAATAAGTCCAATTAAAAAAAGAAGTTTTTTGATAATTTAGAGTCCAGGCTATTTGATTTCATGTTCAGATACTTTTTCAATGACAATGGAACTCGAAAAATTTACTTATTTTGTCAGCGGTCATTTACAAAATTAGTTCATTTAAAAACTTTCTGATTGTACACACAAGTACTCTGAAGTTGATATTAAAAAGATGCTCGAGTTTCTGATTGACAATATATATGTGGTGTTTGGAGGTCTTCCAACAATCTATTGGAATCTCCATGGGTATCAATGGCGTCCCAGTACCACCAGACCTATATTTAGCTCACCTGGGCTGAAATCTCAAGTGAGGTTTTCTGGTCACATTCTGTCTGTAGTCCGTTTGTCCATCTAGCTGTATGTCTGTCTGTAAACTTTTAACATTTCTACTTCTTCTCAAGAACCACTCAGACAATTTCAACCATACTTGCCAAATAACAGTCTTGGGTGAAGGGGATTCAAGTTTGCTCAAATGAAGGGCACGCCCTCTTCCAAGGGGAGATAATGTGGAGGCATCTTCAGGTAGTGTAGAGCCAAGTTTGTTCAAATCGTGACCTCCGGGGGTAGGGCGGGGCCACAATGTTTTACATAGGAATATATAGTAAAAATCCTTAAAAATCTTATTCTCAAGAACAACAAAATCACGCTTGCTCATATTTATCTGGAAATATCCCAGGTAGTGTAAATTCAAATGTATTCTAATCCAGATCCCCGTGGATAGGGCGGGGCCACAATGGGTGATCAAAGTTTAACATAGGAATATATAGGCAAAATCTCTTAAAACCTCACAACCTTGCTTGCATGGTTTTATTTATATGGAAGCATCCTCAGGTAGTGTAGAATATGTGTAAAATATAGACAGTTTCTCTATTTAAAGTAAAACTAGACAGAGGATATGCTGAAAAGCAAAAAAAAAATATTGAGCCATCAAAATCATTTGTCTAATGTATTAAATTCTGCTGCTGTAAATAAGACTATATTATTGGTTAAAATTCTCAACATAAATGAATGATGAATAAGCAGGTCCTTTTATGGTTCATGCAGATAAAGGCCTTGTTTAAATAAAAAAGTAAATGCATGTAAATCTTATCCCCTTGATGTCCTAGTACGTTAGACGTAACATAATATCGATTAATATACAGTGAAAAGAATTCTTGTATTGTTGTCTTGTTAGTCAAAGACGAATGGTAATTTTTAATGAATAAAAGGAAACATATGAATAATTCTTTTTACTCTATGAAATAACCAAAACTGCTTTATAATTTTCTCCATCTCTGCTGTAAATTATACGGTAGATATTTTTTAAAGTGTTTTAAATCGGACAAAAAACAGCAAATGCGTGTTTCAAAAATTAATATTGTAATCTTTTGTTATTGTCATAATTATACTGCTTTCCTACAAATAGAACACTTTTGAAAAAAATAGTTTTGGATCACCAAATTTTTATTTCAATAAAAAAATTATGGAAGACAATACTATCATCTCGTAGACATCTACTCCTGCTTCTGGGACTACAGGTGTATATTCCAACAATGGGTATGTGTAGAAAAAACATTTTTCGTCTTGGGGTTTGTATAAGAATGTTTGATCACTATTCTCATCTGTATACATTTTCCACACTGTGATACACTGTACTGTCCCACCTTCAGATCTAGATCATTGACCGGTAGAAAGTTGGTCAGTTTATTCATCTCAAAGTTTCAAGATTTTTTCTTGAACTCCTTTTGGAAATAAAGATATAATAAAATTAAAATGTCTACTTTTTTACAGAAAAATTTATTTAAATCTTGCGTAGGCCTTTTTAAATAAAGGCAGTATTTCTATGTTTCAAAGAAATCCGTAAATAAAGGATTTTTCTTGATCAAAAGTTATATTAGTTTTCATCCTATCTTGATGAAGCAAGGGTATCAGCAGTCCCGTTAAAAGTCATCATTTCGTTATTACTATGACCGAATTGTCCACGGATTTTTTCTTATTTCCGAACATGACAAGGACCCAATGGCGGGTGTGATAGGTCACCAGGGTAGGGGGCTCACTTCACCATGAACCTGATCCCACCTCTGATATTTTGTTGGTCCGTTTTTGCTCCGTTCCTATTTTGTAATGTTTAATGGACTTTTGAGCTCGACTACTGTTCGTTATTTCCACATATTTTTCTATTATATTGTTATATTAAAAAATCATTTTTTTTACCATTTTGTATTCACCAAATCATTGTTTTCATTACGATATTTTGTTGATGTATTTGTAATTTCCTTCTTGGTTATTATTTCGTTTTATTTTGCCCTTTTCCGTTTTGTTTGACTTTTGTTAGTTTGTTTCAATGTGAAAATCAGTCTTATGTTAAAATGGGGTCTTATGCAAAATTTAGTTATTTTTTTTAATGTTGATCATATATATATATCTTGTGATCAAATATACACACACTATTATATAGTTAAGTTCGCACTCAAAATCGAGTTATGTAAATTGCACCATGTGGGAGTGAAGTCCGGTTCCTCTTCTTTCTTGAAGAATACAAAATGGCCTAATTCTCATTACCTCGATTTTGTTATTTTTAATATATAATTTGCATTAATTAAGATGCTTTAAACTTGGTTTTAGAAACATTGGACTTGCTTTCAATATAAGCAAAGGTGAAATGGTTGATTAGAAAATTGATATTTTGGTATGTACAAAAATTTTACGTCTATGCAAACAGAACGTTTTTTTCTTGATATGTTGAAAAAGAGTTTAGGGTAAAAATTAAAACAATTTTAATAAAAAGATTTCTTACTTTATATGCGCTATACAAAGAATGAAAATTGTACCAATTACAATTAAGGAACTAGAAATACATAATCAAATATCAATCATCTTTTATTCCAATAAAAGAGTCGTTGTCGTATATTTTCTGTCAATAAAAGTTTCATATCATATGAATCATATTAATCATAAACAAACCAGTTTATTCATAATCTATGGTGAAAATAAGACTGAGATGAAAATGCATTAAGGTAATTCTACACGATTCGTTTCTAATTTTTAACATTAAAGCATACTAAATATAGCTGGTTCAATATATTTTAATTATTATCGGAATTCATCTAACAGAATCTAAATTGTTTAAAAAACATGCTCAGAATAATAATTATTTATAAGCTCTCAACTATTTAATGACATTGTAATTAATATTATTTCGCTTTGAATAAAAAACGGAAAAGAGAAAAGAAAAACTCGAAGTCAATTGAGTATGAATATTTGACTTATACCCTTGTATTATAATATAAAGTCGTCAGTCAATATTTCGACCTACTTAAGATTGCATGCATAAAATGTCTTTGCATCGATCATAAGATAAAACAATTGACTTCAAAGGAGATCATAGATACCCTTGTATTATCCATAACTTATTTGTCAATTATCTGCTTCATTTAACTTTTAAAAATCATTCTTTGGAAAAATATCCTCTTGCATACAGAATCAACACAGAAATATTAAATCCATGTGTATACAGCTACAAGAATGAGTTTTATTATAGAAAAGTTTAAGTCATCACGTTTATGATAACGTTTAGCTTTAAGTCTGTCATGAATATCTTTCTCAAGTAAAATGTCTAATATGAGGCAAATGTGTCAGTTTCCGTCTTTTTCGAAAAATCATTTAAATGCAACATATAATGAATCAACTTAAAATGTTCTACATAGATTAATTGATAAATATAGATGTTGAATGGAAGGCAACAGAACCTTCACTTAGAGGTACTATGAGCGGTGAAATGATTCCCTCCGCCTCCCATATGATTATAATGACAGAGTTTTACTCTGGGAAACCAGACATAAGTGGCAGATCAATTAGTGAAATAGCCAAACATTGACACTGCCATTTTTTTCTATTTTATTGAAGGGTGTCAATCTCTTACAGTGTATCCTTAATTCCTCCCTTACTACTAAATAAAATTTAATTATTCTTTCACATATTATTTATTACATAATGTCATTATGCACCTCTTATTCTACTTTTTGATTTAATTGACATTAATTTCTGGTCTCCCAGAGAAAAACATTGGCTTTGCCATTATTATCATATTGGAGGTGAAGGGTATCATATAGTGATTTTAGTGAGGTAAGGTAGTCCGATCCTCAGGTTTATAAATTTAGCAGTTAAGAAATCAAACATACATAAAGTATCTCTGAATCCACAAAGTTATGTAAATTTATCCACAGTATTTCTTTGAAGTTAGAGATTAAAGTTAATCATATTATATAGTGAAAGTTGTCAACTCTCCAATATTTTTGTAGAAAAAGCAAATTGGAATATCAGCAATGCTTTTTCTAATTGCAAATTGATCAACAAATAAATTTTAGGTTAAAAAACGATAGGTATCCAGGCATTCAGAGAAATTGTCATGATTTTTATACTTATTTGTTTTTTGTGTTCTTTTTCCGTCATGTATTCTATAATACTTTAAATCACTTTTTATTTGCGATAAATTTATTTTCGCGTAATTACGCGAGACGGTATGCTCGCGAAAATTTAATTCTCGCGTATAAAAGAATTCCTTAAGATTATATAGAGCAATGAAGTTGAATGAACACAATTCGTGAAAATTTTGTCTCGCTGATAAAGAGTCAATGACTATCTCGCCAAAATAAAGTTTCGCGAAAATCAAGTGATCTACAGTACATAGTGTAAAACGCTTTTTCTATCATTGCAAGACACTACAAATAACTTTTTATTTCATATCATGCTAATAAGCATTGGTATCTAAGGCTTGATGCAGGAGAATCTTATTTCTCTAGATCTAAAACTGTATATTAATATTTTTTTTTGTATAGGGTACAGATTTCAACTTTTATAGGACTTTTTCTACGACTTCCAAAAACCTTGAATCTTATAAAAATGAATAAAATGAAAAATTATTGCACGAAAAAATTTAATTTTCAAGTTTCATTTTCATGCATTTCAAATTAAATTTTGGAGTTATCCTTCCTGGCTGAGGATAAGATATCCTGAAGTGCTAACAGTACCTCTAGTTTTGCACTATCCATCAATTTTACGCATAATGTTTAAAGAGACAGGGGTACTTTTTGGGAGCTTGATTGCTGAATCGAGACAAAAGTGTAGACGTACGTGTACTTTTAAGGACTTGTGAACAAAGTTTCCACTACAAAAATTGAATTTTTCAATGAAAATTTGTATACTAGTATGACAAATGTCATATACAAAATCTAATTGAAAAATTCAAATTTTTGTAGAGGACAGAAGTATTAACACTGGAAGTAAACATATCACAAGCCAGATCAAAAAATCTGTCGGTAACTTATCATTTATTTTACTCTTTCTAACCAAACCACTCTCAAACACTCGATACATACGGTGTCTAAAATCCCAATAAGGAGGGGTTTTCTAATTATATAAAAAAAATTCAATTTACATGATAAATTTTCATTTCATAAATGTTAAGAAAACAATACTCTACACAATTATGTATAAAAAAGAATATATCTTAAGAAATAAACAATAAGGATAGATATAAAATATTTCTTGCATTTTTTTTCCTTCTTTGCAAAAATTTAGGATAGTACTCACCAAAAAAAACCCATCCTTAAATAAATCACCAACAGTAGAAGGAAATTCCTTTTCTTCGTGATGGAAGATACCTTAAGAGTTTACACCGCGTTACTAGGAGTTGTTCGCAATTACATAAGTAATTTTAACATTAAATCAAACTATTGATTATAAGTTGATTAAGTTGATATTGATTATAAGTTAAGAAACCTAGGATAAACAGAGTCATCTTTAAAAAAAAATTGTAAACAAATTTCAATATTGTAAAGCTTTTTTTGTACTTAATGAAGAAAACTATCAAACTTTACAGTTATCATACGTCCAATAACCCTTAAAAATGACAAAAAATGTATTACAAATTAAAACATAAATACACACATTGTCAATATCAGATGAAGGAATTGCAGTAGGTCAGAATTGTAGGAGTAACTTCTTCACTGCTTATGAAAGAATCATGAACATGTTACACCAGCATAATGATTATATAAACAATGAACTACTTTTCCGTAGCCACTGTGTCTACAGTCGAAGATGGAGGACTCTGTGCCCTGGCATTGAACTCTGTCTAACCAAACACGCCCTGACTCAGCTCCGAAATAGGCACGATGGTGAGAAGTCGAGATTCTATTAAGAAAATTTTAAAAAAATCATGAGATGATACTCTTATTTCAAGGAAATGATTCATTGGAAATAGAACGCAGTTATAATTACCCTGAGTATCCAAGACTTTTGCACACCACTTTAGCATTTGCATCGCTCCAATAATGATAGCAAATAGTTCCCCATTCCCCATTTATAAATACTTCCACACGTCCTTCACTTCTTGAAGTGCCATTGACTAGCCTTATAAACTCTGTAAAACAATGCAACAACATAAGATTTATATTCAATTTTCTCAAGAGGAACAGTTGTGGTAAAAAAAAACAACATGTAAACTTATTTTAAGAAAACGCAATATTCACACGATGTATAGAAATGTACATATTTATTATATGCAAGTCTCGACCGACCGAAATTAATGCATATTAAATTGAATAAATACGTGTAAGTAACTAAATAAAATAGATAAATAACTAAATATTAGTATAACAGATTAACATACTTTCATCATTAGCATAACATTTGACACCAACAGGGGTAGTATTATTGCATTGTTCAAAGTCATTTGTGCCAATCTTGCACTGGGTCAAAGTTTCCTCATTCGCAGTACACTCAACGTTCATTAAGACCTTTCTATGCAATCTTTCTGCTCGTCCATTTTCCACTAAACCAGCATAACTTTAAAAAAGTAAATGTTTATTATGTTTTTTTACGACGTGAAAAAGTTGGATATTCACCTCTAACTAATTTTCTTAACTTTTCTACAAAATACTTCTAGTCATATTAATATATTTTAAAAAAATATTTCTTTCAATAGAAGCCTACGTTTAAAATTTCAAATGTGTAAATTGTTTTAAATTAAAATACAGGCTCTTGAAAATGTTCTGGGACAGCAAAACTTAATCAACTGAATCTCTTTTTAACAATGAGACATTTCCTCACTTTTAAAAACTTGTCCAGTTTGGCTAAATACATGTATACGTATACATATAATAATAGACATGTATCAATTCTTTTAGCAGACGCGCCGCTAAAACAAGAGTAAGATTATATTATTTTCATGACAAGATTAAATGATAAAGAAATAATATACAAATTGACAGCTACACATGCATGGTACATAAATTGTTGAATTTCTTATTAAAAACGTGATAATTGCAATTAAAGCAGCAAAAACAAGTTCGCATAACGTTAAAGACGTACAGTCTCAGGTGTAAGCTAAGATAATAACTTTCCCTACGCACACTTGTTATGTATGTGGACATACCCAGAGTAACCAAGACTTCTACACACAACCTTTGCCGCTGAATCATCCCATCCGTCCCGACAAAACCCCATCCAATTATTATTTATATATATACTTGGAATTACTTCGATGTCATGGCTTATATATGAATCCACTTGAAATTTCAAAATTTCTATAAAAAAGAATTATAATATTGTATGTATATATATGAAAGAGAAAAAGTACATCAGATTGACTTGAGAATTATTGACCAGGATTAGGCATTGGAAATGGTCTATTCTGAAACATTAATTTCCTGATTTTTCAATGATTCCAATATAAGCTAGATAGATATATCGGTTTTAAACTTTAAATGTTTGCTTGCAATGAATAATGTTAAAATATTTTGAAGAAAAAATAAAATACAGGAGTTCATTGCTGCACCGATAGTTGTTAAGCAAGAGCAAGGAATGGCTGTTAAATGGCAGGAAAGACTTTTACCATTTAAATTGTGATAACAAACAACTCCAACATTTCTATCACTACAACGTCTCGTTGAAACTACCAACGGAGAGCACTCCACCAAAGAATTTTCATTTCCATCACAATTCATCCCGCTTAGCCATATCTGTTCATTTCCTTCTTCAAAAACATTTGCTTCCACCGGAAACCCTCCTCTAGAAAAAAATAATTGGGCATCATATGTTTTATTGTACGTGCAGTATAAATCATAAAGGAACAAAAATAACAATCAAAAATTCTTTTGAAAATCTGTACGATATTGAAAATCATAATAAAAATGAAATAAATAAGAAAAATATATATTGAGGAAACTAGTAGCCTTTTAAACTAGATGCCTAGGGCACCTGGATATCATGGCTGTCTCTGAAAAATTCTTAGAATTCGTTGCAGACACTTACTGATTACCATAGATGTTGAGAGAAATTTAATTAAAAGACAAACAACAGGTACTGTGCGAATTAAAAAAAATCCCTGGTGCCACATTCTGGCCATAAGCAATATCTGTACAAAATTAGATTTTCCAATATTTCTCCATTTTAATATTCTGAAAAATTGAACTTCAGGAAGCTCTAATCACTGACAAAGAGTGCTTTTTGGACTTGAAAGTATTAAAGATATATAAAGGTGTGCCTATGGAGACTATTTAATTCATTTTCAACATAGGGTACCTACCTTAAAATGTTCAAAGACAATGGGCTATGCTTGAACAGAGACACTGTTGTTTACTTACGTTGGGGGAAGTTAATGAAAATAATGAATGTAATTATTTATTTTTAGTCTAATAAAATGATTAGCTTATTGTTGCTTATAACAAATTGTGTAATAAACTGTTGACAACAATTTTTCTATCTCATTTTTAAGGGTTGGTAATTCTAAAGGCATAAAACTACCCTAAAATTAGCAGTCTTTTGTGTTTAGAGCCTCCTTAAAGTGCACGTTAAGAAAAAGAGGATATAATATATAAGTTTTATAAGTCACGTCACTCTTCCGAATGAATTTGACAAGGAACTGCAAAGTTTGCTAAAACACTAGAATTCTTACCCATAATATCCGAGAGACCGACATGCTACTTTCGCATCATTTTGATTCCAGTTACTATCACAGACAGCTCCCCATTTTCCATTAATTAAAACCTCAAGAATACCTTCGTTGACAGATGTTCCGTTTGACAGTCTGATGTAATCTAAAGTATACAGATATTTAACATATTACACGTATTTTAAACGTATTTCCTCTTAATTGGAATAAATTACATTTTAAATTATAACTAGCTTTATACACTTACCCCCTTCAAGTCTGCATATTACACCGGCATCCTCAGGATGATGACAATTGTGAGTGGAAGAAAATGTACATTCAGACAGACCAGTTTCACCTCCATTACACTGCACATCATCAAAGAGTATAGACCCAGTTCCCTGTCCAAATACTGCATCTGATACAGCCAGGCCATGTCTAATTAATGTTTTATAAAAGTCTATTTTAGTCTAGACGTATACCGTGGAAATGTTATGAAACAACGACACTCCAGTTTATCAATAATAATGTTATATGTATTAAAAGAATTGTTTTTATTCTTGGCGAAAAAAAGTATGAAGATGTATTTTAGGTTAAAATGGTATTTATGTCTTCTAATGCTAAGCATGCTCATCGCAGATAGTTTTTGCTAACTTTGTATAAATCAAATAAAACACTTTCATAGATAAGATATATCATTTATTTAAATAACGGTATAAATGTAAACAATTTAACATACAAGAAGAGGATCAGATTTACAAGCCCTGGTTGTAAGTACGTAAAATATGATAAAGTCTGATCCCCAGAAAAAGTAGAAGAAAAAAGTACCTAGAAATGAAACATGAAAACAACGAACAGTATTCCAGATCAAAAGTCCATAAAACAATACAAAACAGGAGCAGAGCAAACACGGACCTCCAAAACTTCAAAGGTGGGATCAGGTGCCATGGAGGAGTGAGCATCCCCTGTCGACCAGTCACACCCGCCGTGTGCTCCTTGTTATGATCAGGAAATAATGGAAAAATCCGTCGTCAATTCAGTGTATAAAAAGGACTAACAATTAGTATGAAAAATGTCATTCAGCATTTGACTAAATGATTAATTGTATTTGCTGACAAGGTCATTGTATCGACCATAGAACTTACAAGTTTATAACTTTAAACAAGACTGCCTGCTGATATTCATGTTTCAAACTTTTTTGTCAATAATTTACCTCGCTTTTTAAATTGTTCATGCGTAGAGCATGCTCTTGCGTATCGAATCAACTGAGATACATAAACTCTGTTATACAGGTGATGAAGGTATATTGCTGCATAAGTAAGGGAAGTTGAAGATAGAAAAGTTAAAGTCATCACGTTTATCTTATAGCTTGGTTGTTAGATTATCATTATCGTCTTTTACAAGTAAAATATCCAAATATGAAACAGATGTGTCAGACTTTGACCCCTCAAGGAGTTACGACCCCTTTCGCAATAAATGTTTGTTATCGCTACTTCTCCGAAACCCTAAAATGTAGAGTTACAAAACCTTAACTAATGTCTACGACTTATTTAGTAGACGCTTCAATCTGTCTTTTCGAAAGAATTTGTAAACTCCTATAATGAATCATTGCACCTGAATGTTTGCGATATTTATGAATATCAAGATCTTTTCTTAAACGACAAGTCGTGGAGACATGGGGCCAACTGCAAAAGATTCATTGACCTTAAAATCTAGGTCAAGGTCAAAGGTCAAGGTCATTCAAAATATGTAAAATTAAGCATTTTTTATAGCTCTTTTGTTCTTCACCAAATTCTACACATCTTTGCATCTTTAGTATGTAATCTTAAAACCCTTTCAGAGATTTCATGCTTGTCCCCTAAGATTGACCCCTCTAAAAGTTAGTGCCCCTTTCAGTGTAAACCCTTGTTATCGCTACTCCTCCGAAACCGTAAACCGTAGAGGTATAAAACCTTCAACAATGTCTGTGACTTATTTAGTACATTTTTCATTCTATTAGTGCGAAGGAATTCGTAAACTATTTTAAGCAGTTATTGACCCTAACAGTTTCTCATGTTTACGAAGAACTGAAAACTTCTTAACGACAAGTCGTAAAGACATGTGGACAATGCATGAGATCTTTCGACCTTTGATGTTATCTTTTATCTAAAGCTCACAAGGATATATCATATCGACATAAGACTAAAATTACAATGGTTAATTGACAATACGTCGTCGATATATCTTAATGTCAAGTTGAAGACCACAGAAAATGTTTTCTTCTTTTCACATATAAGATTTTGCACAAATTCTGCTTCATATGAATACAAAAATAGGTCTGCTAATTACGGGGCGCCATTCCAGAGAAACAAATCAACATAACAAAAAGTTTTTGTATAGCACAAAATACTTATGTGAGTCTGTTTGGCTCGTTTATCATATATCAAAGTTCCTTTTAAATTCATAAGAGTTTTTATACAGACCATTTCCTATGACGGTTGATTTACTTTAGTTGAATCTCTAGTCAAGGTCATTACCGTTTTCCTGGACATTAATAATGAATTATTACCGTTGCCAATTATGCGATCCTTACTTGCATTGAAAAAGATTGAATGTTTTTCTTTTTGCATAAAAAGATATTACCATAAAGGGCTTATAAGATGATATTACCAAATTGACATAAATCATTTAACTAAAATGGATATTGTCTTATCCGAATTCTCTCTGCTTTTCTAAAATATTTTAGGATGTATTAGTTATTTTTATATGCTTCCTATATTTAAATTTTTCTCATTTTCACATATGGTAAAGTTGTCACATACAGATAAAAAATGATACACAAACAAAAAGTTTTGATCGATTACAAAGAGAGAATTTTTTGGCTCAAATCTGTACTCAGATTGAAAGCTTATAAAAGCTAACATAGTTCTAGTTTGTTTGAAAAATCTTATTTCTTTGATATTATTAGGAAGTTTAGTCCCTTATTATTGATTAAACGTACATTTGAAAAGTTCTCCAAGTGTTTGATTGTGTAAAAATTATAACGAAATTCATTGTTCTATAATAATTTTGAGAGGCAGAAAAGAAGATACTAGTATTTTAATTTCATACGCCACCATTCCGCCAAAAATATAGTCCCTGTTAGTTTTCAAACACTGTTTACCATTTCTATTTAAAGTTGTACAATTATGATGAGGAAAAAAATATGGTCTTTTAAATCTCATACCTAAATATATAAGACATATAACCAAATGAATAACTCATGTAGTCAGAAACAGAGAAGGATTCTACCTTATGGTAAAAATTAAATGTCTAATTTCGGTCTAGCCTTTACTAAAGTTTCATAATTAAATTAATTCCACCGTCACAGCCGGTCAAATATTGTCCAGTTGTAATAAACAGCTTCTTCAGCAAGGAAGAGAATCATGTCAATCTTGATACAAACCACCTATGGAGTAGATATTAATTAACTGTATATTTCTCAAATAGTTATGATAGAGTTTAACAAATGCAGCTTTGTTCATTGTATTTTTAATGAATTTTTAACAATTCCACAATCTAATAAAACATCAAAACATCGAGAGGCGCAGTCAGGTGCCTAGGAGGAGTAAGCAACCCCTGTTGACATTTTATACCCGGCGTGAACGCCTAATGTATTGAACAGGTAGACGAACTTTTTCATTATCAAATTCAATATAAAAACAAAGGCGAAACAAATGGAATGAAAAAATCAGTCAAAATATGACAAAGTGATAGATTATATTTTCTGATATTATATAACGACCATATGGAAGGCCGAATTTAAACGAGAATTTTGAAATTACCAGCATCATCGTTTTATCAATGAGAACTATTATTCCGGAGAGACAAACAGAAAGACGGACAAACAGACTTTGCGCTATTCAGAAAGTAATCAAATAAACTTATTAAAACTGAAAGTTGCATTACAGACTTACTCACTATAACCTAGACTTCTACATATAACACCAGCATCTTTATTGTCCCAAACATCATCACAAACTGTTCCCCATTCATTGTTCTTGTAGACTTCTACTCGTCCTTGAAATTCTAATTGTCTTGAAAGTCGTATTGGTGGTGCTAAAAATATAATACATGTACATGAAGATACAAATTCAGATACATAATTCAATTTAGAAAAGAAAATCACTAATATAAAATCACCAAGCTCGGAAAAAATGAAAAAGGCTAATAAGATGTATTATTTCGATTTCGAATGATTATTTATCTTATTCTTAAGTTGAACAAAAATATTATTTCAAATTATATCTTTTATCTCTCTATAGCTTAAACAGAATGTAAGCAGTTTAAAACATGTCAATGCAGTGTTACAAATTCTCTTTCTATCTCTTTCAGACTTCCTGAGAAAGGAACATTAATAGCTTTTCTAGGAGTTGTCTCTAGACTAAAATACTGTTAATAACTACCAGCAATTTAAACCTAATGCAATAATCTCTAATAATTTTACATAATCAATTGAATTATTGCTTATAAAAGGCTCGACCTATATTCTACGCATTGGAGGGTAATATTTCAGACCCTAACTATAAATTTCAGTGTTTGACTTGAAGAAACATGATCATTATTGACATAAAAGTCTTAAAGAGATACAAGACAGTAGCTCTTACAAAGAAATGCTAAAAACATATTTATATCAAATAACACATTCTTTACTTGTTGAAATTAAATCAACTGGTTCTGGAAAATTCTGAATGATTAAAATTTAATCGAACCTACAAACAAACATGTACGCATCCAACCATTTAGGTACATGTATGCAAATGATTTACCTATGAAAAAAGTTATGTTACAAATACCTCTCATACACACAACACCGGCATCCTCTGAGTGACCACAGTTGTGGTGTAGATGATTTTTATGCGTACAACGCAGTAGGGAGCCTTCAAAACCGTTACAATTGACATCATCCATCTGAATGATACCAACTCCCTGTCCAAAACGTGCATAAGAATACGGACTTCTGTAAATAAAAAAAAAAAAAAAAAAAAAAACATGATTGCATCTATGATGTACCCTGACTTTTGAACATTTAATATTCACGATTCATCTAAACAAATAAGTCAAGAAAGATAGCAATGGATACTTTGAAATAGAAAAAATTATCGAAACCGACAAAAAATACGTTTAAAGAGAGACCAGATCAATGAACCTTATATGTTAAAAAATTGACAAATTTTGATATATGCCTTTAAGTCAAATGAAATACAATATACTTAAGTGAGTTGAAAATAAATTACATGTATTACTGTACTGTAAGTTATACAATTGATTAAATTAAGTTCAAGAAGGAAGTTTTTTTCCATGTCACTGAAATTTAAATAACCAAAAAAGACTTCCTATTATAACATTATAAAACATTATAAACAGGAAATTTAACATTCATTATCCAATAAAAGACATGGACCCCCTGGAAACACGATCTGTGGGATCAGAATCCTTGGAGGAGGAAGCATTTTGACTGGTGACACCAGTCGTACATCTTATCTTTTTATCAACAGAGAAATAAAATATTGAAATTAATGCCCTGTTCACACGGAGAGTTTAATTCGAATTAAACGTAAGTTTACTGCGAATTAGCTTCGCTTAGCGTTCACACGGAGAATTTAATGCGAATTAGTTTAATTCGAATTAATTTACTGCGCATTAAATTACTTCGCATTAGCTCCGTGTGAACGTTAAGCGAAGCTAATTCGAATTAAATTTTGACGCATGCGTAAGGCCAGAATTAAGTCACAGGACACGTGTTGGTGGTTATATATAGGTATTTGTGCTATATTTGGATCAAAAATTGAGGGAAAGTATGTTAATCACTAAAATCAATGAATACCTGAAGCCACTACATGATGTATCAAAGGATGGCTCTGCATACATGACGTGATTTATAAATGACGTCATAATAGACTTACTGGCGCCTGACTATAGAAGAAAATTTTTTAATTCACATTAGTTTACTTCGCATTAGCTGTCGTGTGAACGCAATTTAATTCGCATTAATTTGATTCGCATTAGTTTACTTCGCATTAATTTACTGCGAATTAAACTCGTCGTGTGAACAGGGCATAAATATCAAAATTAAAAATAAATGAACAAGTGGAGTTAAAGCAATATAAACTGCATTTTTTTTTAGAATTTATTTTGCAATTAGAATGTGTAATTATGATAGATTTGTAAGTATTTAACTTTTACGATCAATTATACTAAAATAAAGTATTAAATTGTTTCAAGAGAAAAACCTCTGTACAATCAAATATTTAGTATTACTTAAGAAAAAAATTGCACATGACCACAATGATGTAAATTTACATTAGTAAAACACTTGTAGGTTTAAACTTTTTATCTGTACTTGAAATAGTTAATGACAATTTTACAAAAGAAAATGTTGACATCAAATTTTTAGCTCATATTATTTTAATAGTTTCTGACATGCATGCTATTTAATTTTTTGATACATGTTGATGGATTGTAACAAAAGATATTATTTCGAAGATTTTTTTAAAATACTGTCTTTATTTGTGACTTGAAACTTCAAGTTGAATAATTTTTTTTAGGTTTTTGTATGTTTATAAATAAATCACACGTAGAAATTCTCTTCCACGGAAATAGGAAATATATTGTAAATAATTTTATGAAACAAAATGTTGCTAATGAATTTAACACTGACTCATCTGTTTCTTCTTTAAAACTTAACAAATTTTAATCACATTCTCTATAAACTGTCAAAAGTTGATCTGCCAGGGATAGTTTTTTTTCAATCCTGTCGTATCTTTTATATTTTATAATTATTTAAGCTAAAATTTAGTAGTATTAAAGCTCAAACTAATAAGACTAACTTTGCAACCGACCATTTTTTTTTCATTTTCCATCCGCTAACAAACAAAGCACAATAATACAAACAATACCAAATAAAATTATATCAATATTTTGAAAAGATACTAGTGTTTGTTTCAATTGTTTTGCACCTTTCTGTTTTCTTATTGCAAAGAAAGGTTACTCATTCCTCAGTGGCACCTAATCCTATATCTGACGTTGTAGATGTCCAGGTTTGCTCTGTTTCTATTTGTATTGTGTTTGAATGAGTTTTGAGCTTGAATACCGTTCGTTATTCCATATATTTCATTTCTTACACTATATACAATTATAAAATGTCCTACACCAAGATCGTAAACCACTTTTTTTGGTGATTTCTTATTTGTTTAGATTTTATCTCCAAAAATATACATAGTAAATATTGAAATCAAAAGGCAAATTCTTTTTCCTTCAATAAATTAAAAACCTCTGAAATGTTACTTCCTTAAACAATATAAAATCCAATGAGGGACATCAAAGATATCTGGTAGTTATACCCAACTAATCCAAATAGTTGTCTACAGATCACATTGGCATCACTGTAGTCCCAACTGTCGTCACAAACTGTTCCCCATACCCCATCTTTGTAGACCTCAACTCTGCCCTCTCTAAAAGAACTTCCATTTACGAGGCGTGCACCTATTAAAAATGTAAAAAAAAAAAATACTTTGCATATATAGAAGATACACAATTTTCACAAGCAGCAGACTTTATTACCAGAGCTAAAAAGATTTTTTGACAAGGCAAAAATGTAAAAAAAAAAATGTTAAGAAAGTGGCGTGTTCTAACCAAATTGGTTAGTTTTATTAAATAAAGCTAGTATTTTATTCTGAATTTGGAAAGCAAGCTACCCTGTTTCACAGCCTGTGCCTCCATATTGTTTTGCAAATTCTTTATCAAGACTTCTTGATTTTTAATTTTCCCTTTCAACAATTGAATTTCCATAGTGTTCTTTTGCAGCATGTTCTTAAGATCATCCATTTCTCTCCTGTTCTGATTGAACCGAGAATCTGTATCTTTGAAGTATGACATTATCACTTTTTGGGCTGCGGAGTTGATCAGAAGTTCCATCTCCTCCAGATTAACTAATGGACATTTTTCCCGAAGGCTAGATTTATCTAAGACACTCTGGCCATTCACGGACATCGCCATGAGTGTTATACACAGTATTTTATGTATATCCATTTGAGAGGCAAACTATATAAAGAGAAAAGACTATATAGTCCATTGAGTATGTGATACTTTACTTTTGAATCTGAAAATCTATAGTTTATGAATGTTTTGAGTTTCTGCAATTTTGTACTTTGTTAGAGTTTATATCTTATATACAGTAAACATAAGTTTTAAAAGGCTGATAATTAAGCATAACTAGATATAATCATGTATAATATATTATATATTATAATTAATATTGAGCATTTTTATGTATTCCCGTTATTTCCCGGACATGACAAGGTGCACACGACCAGGAGGGGATGCTCAATTCTCCATGACACCTGATTCCACCTCTAATTGTTCTGCTCTTGATTTGTACTGTTTTAGTGGACTTTTGAGCTTGAATATACTGTTCGCTATCTCCATATATTTCATAGATCAAGTCTGGAGAATTATTTTAGTCAGCTGACACATATGGTTTACGCTAAAAAATTAACATATTGAATGAAATTTTAAACATATGAAATAAGTATAAAAATTTATGTAACTTTGATCATATTTTGATAGAAGAAATATGTTTAACATAATTCATTTTTTGTTTGCAAAAATTATAATGAGACAGTTGAATAGAATGTCTTAAAAATGTAAAGATAAATTAAAAAATAAGGATTACTTTTATCAGAGTTGAACAATTAACCTTGGCTGGATAGTTTACGTTTTTAACTTCTTTTGCGATTTATTAACCATAAGGTACCACAGCTCATATTTTTTAAGAACTTGTACAGCATTAAGAAAAATTAAAATATTTCATAAAATGTTTTTTTAATTTAATGCAACATACATTAATTGATTGTTTGTTGTTTAACGCCCCATTAACAGTTGCTACCTATTTTTTATCGACTTACACATAGGTCAATTGCAGTCGGGATACAAATTCAAGGCCGTCCTATTACGGAGCGAGCTCCCTATGGACTAAGGCACCGTGACGACCAATGCAACATAGATGCTTAAATATTTTATCAGTTCATATAGATATATATCAACAATTTTTAACTTACCTTGTTAACACTATTTAAAATGTCCATTTAACTTCTGATATGCATAACGTACCTAACAAAAGTTAACCTTAATTTTTCTTTCTGTTGATTTAGAAAAACCTTATTCTTATTTTTTCGGACGACATATTAGGCTCTGTTTCTAGTTATATAACAAGGAAGTAATGTTGAACAAATACAGGTGCATCCCATGTCGTAACCAGAGAACATGCTTCTTTGTACCTGTGGTGTCAAGTTTTTGATAAAACTGTTATTGATTTAAAATCATTCCCAATAGAAAAATACCTTTTGAATCAATGGTTTTCAATAGGTGTAGAGAAAAATATTGTTTAAAAGATTTTAACAAATGTAATGTCTCTTTTTTATCTTAAAAAATGTTGCTTAGGGCATTAAAACCTTCTCACGTACATGTATCTATACCACTACCAGCATTTTCATTTTTGTACTTCTAATGTAAAGTATCAGTTTCCCTGATATTCACAGTATTCAAATATATCTATAAGGAAACAATTATTTTGGAACTATAAGCATCAGAATCATGTATTTGAACCAGATTTAACATAGTCAAAAAGCTAGCTGTCAGACGACTCTACTCCGGTAGACCTCACAAGCCAAGCACAAGCAGTCGGGGACGGAAAAAAGTAAGCTTGGAGATATTATCTAAATTTGATACATTTAACTTTTAACCATTTATTTATAATCAACAACCTAGATCAAGGTCGACATTTCGTAAATTCTATGGTTATTTAAATAACCATGTCAACAAATATATCTATCATTAGGACGTATTTTGGGCTATAAGTGTCTTGTTTCATACCATTTTCCTGATCAACACATGGCGTTCACGATTGGCATGACCGACTAACAGGGAGAAGCTTCCCCCTTCTAATAACCTGATCCGACCTATGAAATTTTCAGGAATCAATGATAATACCCTCTTTACAGGTTTGTATCTTTTATTTAATAGATTTTTAACCTTTGTCGTATATAGTCAGTAAATTATCCAAAATGACTAATGAAAGTATTTTATTGATCGATTTAAGAACATAAAATGTACAAAAAAGTTTTATTTCACCAGATATATTTGAACTGATTCTTCATCATAATAAAAAAAATCTGATACCATATAAAGTTTTGAAAAATATGCTTAATGGTTTCAAAAAACTACTTCTTTTAAAGAAAAGAATCGAACTGGATCAATGAACAGTATTTACATTGAAACTACATCAAACAGATGCATGTTATCTTCATTATAAAATGTAGCTACCTAAACTTACTCTTGTTAATTAAGACCTACTGAAAATATTTATAAGATACGAAAGCCCAGAAGGCTCATTCGAGATTCAAGGTTCGAAATACGAGAATCAAAATTCGAGATTCGAAATTCGAATTTCGAGATTCAAGATCCAGATTAACCAATCAAAAACGGGTTCAAGATTTAATTACTCCCCTTTATTATGATTTTACTATCAAGAAATCCTTTAATATGTAAATAACAAATAAGTCATTCAATTAAATTACAATGCAAGAAAGAGTGTTATATACTGTAAAACGAGAGTATTTGGCGCACTACTAATTTTAGCGCCTTTGGCGCAAGAGCCCCTGAGCGCTAAAATTTATTGTGCGCTAATGGTTTCTAAATATCATTTTTGTGTGTGTTCAAAGCTTTTACATAAGTACATGTAAACCATAACGCGCGATTACGTAATGTCGAAGGGTCATAGGATTTTATATACACACTAGCACTGCAGATGTTCGGAAGACAGAAAGTTCGCCAAATTATAATTTGATTAATTATTGTTACCCCGGTAGTTGTTAGCCGGTTATTATCATTAGCACCCTCAAAGTTTGGCTTCTCGGCGTGTCAATCATCTATCGATTGGAGGGAAACAATGCAGTCAAGCATGGCGATTGAGTTTGCAGACAATACCTGATTAGGATTACCGTTTTCTCTATGTAATTTCCTGTCGATGCATGCATTGTTTTAATATGATTTAAATGAGTAAATGCTCCATTTCTTTTAATTGAAATTAGAAATAAAAAAAAATCTGACATTGTACCACCGCCATGTGATAACACGTACGCGGTAAAGTTAACGAATGTTTACTGATATACGAGAGTACTAATGTGTTTCCGTGCTTGACAAACCAAAAAGTCAAATACGGATGTAGATTTAAAAAAAAAAACAGAATATCACATTTATATATTTTACTGACAAGTGCAAGCGCTAAAATTTATTTGCGCCAATGCATTCCCACTTGCGTTTGCGCTAAAATACGTATGCGCCAATCTCGTTTTACAGTATATTAGAAGGAAATTTGAATAATCACTGGATTTTTGATCAGCAAGATATACTTCTATTTATATTATGGCTTCTTAAATATTAAATAGAATACATATATCAGGAATGATATATATATATATATATATATATATATATATATATATATATATATATATATATATATATATATATATATATATATATATATATATATATATATATATATATATATATATATGGTATTAAATAATAAAATTAGTTGACCCACTTGTTCCGCAAGTCAACGATAAGACCATATAATATTACATATATACGTATTTACTATTTTGTTAAATTAGAAAAAAAAAAGATTATATATGTATTTTTCAAAATGTAATACATAAAACATTTTTTCTTGCATTATCATTTTAGCAAATGGTCCATTTGTTATAAATATATTCAACGATTTCTAGATAGTAAAAACGTAACAAAGGGAAGTAATCAAAACTTGAACCATCTTTTGATTGGTTAGTTTGGGTCTTGAATTTCGAAACTCGAATTTCGAATCTCGTATTTCGAAACTTGAATCTCGAATGAGCCTTCTGGGCTTTCGTAATAAGAAGATAAAACCTTTATGAAAATCATTGTAGCTGAATTAAGGAAAAGAAGTATTCAACGAGTGCTTAACTCTTAAGACACTTTTCAAGTGATACTCTAAAGATTCACTTGTTCCAAGCTTTTTCCACAGCGAAAACACATAACACCGCTTTTTCTGCTGTGTGAAATCATGTGTTTTTTCAAGAAGCTTTGGTATGGGAACATTTTGTTACAAATTGTACATTTAATATTAGATTTTAGACCATGGGCAGCTGTCATGTGATACTTCAGGGCGTAAAAAGAACTAAACTCACGCCCACAATCCCAATAAAAATCAACCTTTCCATGATATTTCACTTCTTTGAGGTGCCTGGAGAAAGTAGCCTCGTTTAGATACTAAGAATAAGTAAGCTATGTTCATAGCTAAGAAAAGAATCGATCAGAAGCCTTTTTAAGACAACTGAAAGAACAACGCATTCTAAATCTTATCCTGGTCAAGAAGTATAGTAATTTCCGGATGAAAAGGTTTTTTTTTTGCTCGTATAAGCAGAATTTTGGACAGTTTTCCTTAAACAGAACACGAAAGATAATTAAAATATAAACCCTTCAAACAACCACAATACAGATTAAAAAAAAAGACTATTTCAACTACTAAAACAAACAGTTCAGTAGCTATTGGACACTCGTGGCAACAAATGAAAGAGCTACACTTTTACTACAAGTTCAGCAACAGCAAAGAAATCATAAATTAGTGAGCACAAACAACGTAGGATGTAAGGTTTATTTTAAACCTTGTTGCCAAAGAGAGCATTTCTTTTAATATTATAGTCTCTCTTAATATTTCAAGAGTTGAAGAGCTACAAGATTAAACCATGTTTTATTATTTGAAATATATATAGATAATAAAAAGTAATTAGATGTTAAGAACCATTAAACAATACAAAATAGGAGCAGAGCAAACACGGACCTCTAAAAAAAGTAGATGTTAGACCAGGGGCCATGGAGGAGTGAGCATCCCCTGTCTACCGGTCACAACCTACGTGTGCTCCTTGTCATGATCGGGAAATATCGGAAAAGCGTCAATTCAGTTTACATAACAAATAGTATGAAAAACGTCAGTCAGCGTTTGACTTAATGATAAATTGTATTTGCTGACAAGATCATTATATCGACCATAGAACTTACGATATGATGATTTTAAACCGGACGGCTGATATTCTAATTTCCTAAACTTTTTTGTCAATAAGTTTTCTCTTATTTGAAATCGTACATATGTAGAGCATGCGTATCGAATCAACTGAGAGATATACTCCCTGTATACAGTTGATGAAGGTATATTGCTACATTAAGTAAGGGAAGTTGACAATTGACAAGTTAGTCATTACGTTTATCATAGAGCTTGGTTGTTAGATTACAATAGGCAAATATTTTCAGTCTTTGTGAGATTTTTGTAAATTGTGGAGATTTTACATAAAGTATACTTTAATATTAGATGAAATATCAAGTAAAATTTGGATTCAATAGAGATTAAAATTTTCACTTCTTATCTGTCGCACTATAAGCATTCTGCCCGCCTTATTCACTCATCTTCTTTGTATTCACAGATACTCGGGAATGTAGCCAACTACTAATAAGTTTTTCCACCAATCGCCTCACAAAACAAACTAAAATTATACAATAAAATAAATAAATAAATTACAATAAATTACATGTAAATATTGGGGATACATATTTAATCTGCGATTGAAATCCATTTAAAATTGCCTTTCGTAATGCGAGTAAAATGATGCCCTTTTTAAGCATTAAAATAATTTTTTGTAGCAATCGCTCGTAACAAAACTCAACTGCTTGGTCATTTAGAAACTTACACTGGAGTAAAGACGAATATTGACCCCCACAGGAAAACGGTCGCGAGTCATTTTTCGACGTTGAAAAATGGTCTCCCAGCTGACATCGAAAAATTTTACTTTTGTAGAAAAATAGCCCAAGGGATCTAATTAATTTAATTAACTAGTGCAGCGTGTACTAAATGTACATGTGTACAGTAAGACCTACACTGTCTTCGATCACTTTATTTTATGTAATGAAAGTTGTTTCAAGATTCCTTGACATGTACATAAATATTGTTTCTCTTTCTCTTACTTCAATTTGTTCCTGCTGGTCCTGATAACAATTAATCTTGTTCTATTGGAGGCCATTTTAAATTTTGATTTGTCAAAACAATTCCAGTTTATTGTTTACATCTGCACTGATAATTTACTGGCCTACTGCACATAGCCATCTGCATTGTTTATAAAGTTGTAACTGGGAGTTAAAAGTACAACCTAATTTACGAACCAAATCCGGCAATCCCGACAAAAGTGGGTGAGAAGGCAATCATGTATAGGACTTTTGAAAATGTATGATTTTCAAGCAATTAATTTATGGAATAAATGCAAAAATTGGCATGTATATTCCTACGCCAGATACATGATTTAGCGCATGAAGAAAGCGGTGAGCAGTCAGAGATTTCCTCATAGCTAGATGAGCGCCGAGCTAAAACTCGACGCCATAAAAATGTATTACAATACAAAACACAAATACAGACATCCTCAATATCAGATAATTAAATTGCAGAAGGTCAAAACGGTAGCAGTAACTTGTGGTTATGAAAGAATTATGAGCATGTTACACCAGCATCACTGATATGTGCACAATATCCTTTTCCGTAGCCTGTGTGTCTGCAGTCAAAGATTGAGGGCTCTGTGCCCTGGCATTGAACTCTGTCTAACCAAACACGCCCGGTCCCAGGTCCGAAATAGGCACGGCGGTGAGCAGTCGAGGTTCTATTAAGAAAATTAAAAAAAATTGCAATGATACTTCTATTTTAAGGAAGAGATTCAATGGAAAGAAAACGCATATATAATTACCTTGAGTATCCAAGACTTTTGCACACCACTTCTGCATTTGTATCGCTCCAATAATTTTCGCAAATAGTTCCCCATTCCCCATTAATAAATATTTCTACACGCCCTTCGCTTCTTGTAGTTCCATTGACTAGCCTAATAAACTCTGTAAAAATGATACATGTAACATGAAGTGAAACATTTCAGCAATGTTGTTTACATGCATACTGAAATAAACATCATCTATATTTACTTTCTTGTTGTTAAACCTGAATTAGACTTTCGTGAAGGATACCGTCGATTTCTTCGTAATTAAAATTCTGTTGTTAATCTTGAATCAAGTTTTACGACAGTTTATACAATCTACACTTGAAAGTGAATGCATTACAAGTTTAATTCTGACCATATTACGTTATTAAAAAGAAAGAAAGAAAGAAATATATATATTTCGTTATTTCAAGAAAACCCAATTTTTATGCAAAGATTTAAAATTACTGTTAACATTTGCATATAAATATTTGCCGAAATTTGTGTATAGAAATTAATAAATACATGTACGATGTATATGAATATATATATATAAACATACTTTCAACATTAGCATAACATTTTATCCCTACAGGGCTAGTATCATTGCATTGTTCAAAGCCAATTGTGCCAATGTTGCACTGGGTCAAAGTTTCCTCATTTGCAGTACAATCAACGTTCATAAAAACCTCTCTTTGATTTATTCCTGCTTGCCCTTTGTCCACTAAACCAGCATAACTAAGGAAAAGACAATAGATGTTTATTAATACACTCTTAATACTTACTCCAAACACTTTTTTTTAATTTCAAACGAAGAAGAGTAACATTGTTATTTTTTTAAAAAGATATTTCTTTCAACAGAAACTAATTCACATGTGTAAAATGAAAAAAAACCAGACTCCATCGATATATTTCCTGAAAAATTGCGATTAAAAAAAACGTTATTAAATTTTGATTTTGAATGGCAATGTTACATTTTCCCACTTTTTAAAAGTTATAGGAATTGGCTAAATATTAAGTAACTGTTGCATGAAAATGTATATCCCTTCTTTACAGAGAAATAAATTTAAGAAAAGGATAAGTTCTGGAAGAATAAAAATTATTTTTTTTATAAATTTAAAGTAGATTTCTCCTACTTTTAACCATTTCTCACAACACTAGAAAAAATCATATCAACATTTGATAACACTCATTATTATGTTCCCCAAACGAAGTTGGGGAACATATTGTTTTTACTCTGTTTCTTATTATTATTATTATTTTTCTTCTTCTTCTTCTTCTTCCTGGGTACTTTTTTGTCCGGGAGTGATCTTGTAAACTATTGATCCGATGTAGGTAAAACCTTTTTAGGGTCAGTAGACATGTTATGTAGATTTGCGGAATCAAGGTCATTTTGTGCGCACGTGCTTGCAAGAGCGCGCACGTGCATCATTTGAAATGACCAATATAATGTATATTGCCTTAACTTTTCTATTTTTTGATGAAATGCTTTGAAACTCATAGTGTAAAGATATATTAGTACTATAGACAAGATGACATGGTCAAAATAGCAAGATCTCACGCGCATGCACGTGCGCTTTGCTCTGATTGGCTGAAACTAAAGTCTCTTAATCTTTCTTGTTTTTTGACGAAATCCTTTGAAACTTTGAACATAGCCATGCATAAGAATATCCTACAACATGGTATATAGCAATTATCATGAAAACACGTGCATGCACGTGCGCTGCAATCTGATTGGCTGAAACTTTAAATTGCTATAACTCCCTTGGTTTTCAACCAAACAGGATAAGATTTGGAACATAGATATATATAATCGACTTCTACAAGAAGGTATGGTCACCATGCACAGGCATACACGTGCATGTACGTGCGCTGCAATCTGATTGGCTGAAACTTTAAACAGCCATAACTCCCTTGGTTTTCAACCAAACAGGATGGGATTTGGAACATAGATATTTATACTGGACTTCTACAAGAAGGTATGGTTACTATGCACATGCAAACATGTGCGTGTACATGCGCTGCAATCTGACTGGCTGAAACTTTAAACAGGTATAACTCCCTTGGTTTTCAACCAAACGGGGTGGCATTTAGAACATGGATAGATGTAATGGACTTCTACAAGAATGTATGGTCACCATGCTCATGTATGCACGTGCGTGCACATGAAATGGGTAAAATCAAAAATACACTTGAATGACCGTTTTTTTTATATACTTTTGGATTATATTTAGCATATTAAAATATATAGATTGTGTAGACAATATGATATGGTCATTACGCACATGCATTCACATGCGCAAGTGTGCAATAATAAAATTTGAATGAACATGGTACACTTCTTGGTAAACGTTGTTAAAGTCTCAAATGCATAGAGTTTGTCTTATTTAATTACGCCTACATGGAATATGATTATAAAAGGGAGTTGGGGAGCGTTTGGGGAACATCTGTAACGGTCCCCGTTACAATTAGCACTAGTTCTTGCATGTGGTGTTTAAGTTATTAACAACAGAATCTAAATTTTCTCTATAAGGTATATTAATTTTTAAAACATACAGAAATAAAAAAAATTGTTATGTGTGACATTTACTCTCATTAATGAAAATATAAAGATTGAATTAAATGTACTGTAGAAAAGAATCTGGCAACAACGTTAAAGATATCCAGTCTCTAGGCTAACTCTGTTTACAGGTCCTACCTTACAGAGAGACTTTCTTTAAATAAGCGCGTGTGTGAAAAGGTGTGTGTGAGGGGAATGAGTGCGTCAACATACCCAGAGTAACCAAGACTTCTGCACACAACCTTAGCCGCTGAATCATCCCATCCGTCCCGACAAAATTCAGTCCAATTTCCATTTATATATATTGTTGGTATCACTATGATGTCGTGGCCTATAGATGAATCCTTCTGAAGTTTCATAATTTCTTTTAAGAAAACAAACAAAAATTATTATGAAGGCTACATAGCCCCCCCCCCCCTCTCTCTTTCTCTCTCACATATATCTTAACCTAGTATACCTACCGGTATATACAGTTACCCAGCATTCAATAAAACGTCAAGATACTGAACGCTAAAATTCTATAGACCTTTTGTATATTTTTTAATATGTATATATACCATTTACGGTGTTGTAACAGATGACTCCAGCGATTCTTCTAACATTGCAGGACCTTAATGTGATTACTGACTGGGAGCACTCCACCAAAGATTTTTCGTTTCCATTACAATTTATTTCGTCCAGCCATATCTGTTCATTTCCTCCATAAATATTTGCTGCAGCAGAGAGCCCCCCTCTAGAAGTATAAACATTTATGCATATGAATATTAGACAATGTGTTCTGGACATATAAGAAAAATTTACAACTATACCTGTAATCATTTATGTACTAGTACATCATTTGTATAAGAAGTTCAAAAATATAAGAATAAAATATTGTAATTTTTGATATGTGACAATCCTACCATGGGACTTAATCTCTTGTCCTGGGTTGTTTTGGGGTTATCAAATTTAGAACTGTTTAGTTGTTAAGCTGTTTATTATTTTGTGATTATTGCTAAATGCTTCAAGCATTTCCGAGAAAAAAAAACATTTCAACGGTGAGAATGTATTTTTCAAATATGAGCAACTTAGCACTGACATTGAGGCAAAACCAAGTTTGAACGATTTATAATTGGGAACCAGAGCATCAGAGTAAACAAGGTTTCAATACAATGCTTAATACAGTCTTATTCAAATATTCTTACCCAGAGTATCCCAAAGACCGACATGCTACTTTCGCATCATTTTGATTCCAGTCACTATCACAGACAGCTCCCCATTTTCCGTTAATTAACACCTCAAGAATACCTTCGTTTACAGATGTTCCGTTTGATAGTCTGATATTATCTAAAGTATACAGATATTCAACATATTATACGTATTTTAAACGTTGTAACTTCTCTTAATTTGAGTGAACTACATTTCAGAGTACATGTATAACTAGCTTTAGCCACTTACCCCGTTGAAGTCTGCATATTACACCGGCATCCTCAGTATGATGACAATTGTGAGTTGAAGAAAATGTACATTCAGATAGACCAGTTTCACGTCCATTACAGTCCACATCATCAAAGATTATAGACCCAGTTCCCTGTCCAAACACTGCATTTGATACAGCCAGTCCATGTCTAATTAATGTTTCATAAAACGTCTATTTTAGATGTTTCTGTGGTAATGTTATGAAACGATGACACTTCAGTTTATTTACTAATCAAAATATTTTCTTTTAAAAGGATGTTTTTTATTCTGAATATGTAATTTTAGGTTAAAAAGATACTTTTGGCATGCATTAATTTGTTCGAGGTCTGTAATAATACTGCAGTATTCTTAATATTTGTATTTAGCGCAAAATGCTTTGCTGAGTTGGCCCTTTTGTTCTATATCAACAGTTCTTTTTAATTTCATAAGAGGTGTTATGCATATCAAATGCATTGATTTACTGTTATTGAATCCCCACAGCATTTGATACTTTAATATATGATATGCATATGACCCTTTTATACTGGAAAATTATTTTCCAAAACACATAAAAAGTTTATTTTGCAAGAGAGAAAATCATGTCAATCTCGACACAAACATTTCAGTTATTTTTTCGTTCTAAAATTTAATGGTTGTCTTGATTTACGTCTCCTGTGGTGTAGGTATTGATCATAATACATTATACCTTTCTCAAATAGTTCTTTTAGAGTTTTACAAATGCAGCTTTGTTCAAATATTATAAAAGAATGATCATATTAAAAATTCTACAGTCTATTACAACATCAAAACATCGAGATCCGTGGCCAGGTGGTTTGGAGGAGTAAGCATTCCCTGTTGACTTGTCATATCCGCCTTGAAAGCCTTGTATTGAACAGATAGACTTTTCCGTTATCGCATTCAGTATGAAAACAAAGGCCTAACAATTTGAATGAATCAAGTCAGCCAAGACACCCAGTGATAGGATATATTTTCTAACAAGGTAATTTAATAACGACCATACAAAAGGCCAAATTTAAATGAGAAAGGAGATGGGTGAACTTGACGAGCGATATGCCTATAACGCAACAAACATGAAGGTGAAAAATTAAATCTCATTAATATCAAAATTTTCCTTCATATTTCATCTAACATTAAAGTATACTATATGTAAAATCTCTACAACTACACAAATCTCATGAAGATTGAAGATATTTGCTTAAGAAATATTATACACACACGAAAGAGGGCAAAATGAGTTTTTTTTTCACACTATTACACTATTTTTCGATATGAGTGGGTCCTCGCTCCATTTTTTGAAAGTTAAGGTAATTCCACCCTCCTATGATGTCATAGGTTTTTGCAAATACTGTTACTAAAGTAAATCCACACCCAATAGAACAATATATTTTGGAAGAATTATTTTCCATTGGTGTAATGATAAATATTTAAGAAATAAAGTCCGCGTTTTCGTGAATGTTGCAAAATAACATCCGAGGTCGAGAAATGTTGTTTGAAATATAAAACCGAGGCGTTAGCCGAGGCTTTTATATTTCAAGCAACATTTCGAGACCAAGGAGGTTATTCTGCATCATTTACGACAACAAGAACTTTATTTCTATTCTTCCATGTCTACTAAAATCGCTAAAATATGGCTGATCGTGTCCTCTACAGAGAAACGAATTAGGTCACCATGTCTCCATTACGCTGTTCCATTTAATACCACAGGTAAAATTTGTTTGCTTACCTGTGCATGGAATGCAGGCGATTTGAGCTTTCGTTACATTAAAAATAGCCTTTTAAAATTACAAATTTGTTCGTAATATGTATTGATCAGTTATAATGAATATACAATAACAAAATCATGTTCCTGTTTTACTACTCTATTGGGACTAAAATCACGTTGTTTAAATGTGTAGGGAGGTCCGTGGAATAGCCCCGCTTAGCTATAAAAACCGACATTCATCAGCAACTTTATGCAATTTACAGTGTTTATACTGCAAAAGACGACACATCGATGTTGTCTAAACAAGTATTTCATTCTACAGCCAAACATGCATTTGAATTGTTCAGATTTGATACGTGTTTCTGATCTTATAATTTTTTGATGACGTGCGTGATTTATTGGAGAATAATGTCCGCCGGTTTTCTTTGATCTTTACAACAATCGTGGTAGAATGTTAAGTAAAAGAATTTAAAAAATGCATGTTTTTTTTTTAATCAATTATACAATCTTTAAAAAAAATGTTGAGAAGGGCAATAACTCCTACTCAGGCAGTTTTATTCAGGCATTTTCTTTTATTGTACTTCTAATGTAAAATAGTGTCCCTGATATCAACAATTCAAAAATATCTTATAAGTATCAAGTATTTAGGAACTTACAGCATCAGAATTATGCATTTGAATCAGTTTTTACATAATATTTATGATACTGTGTACAAAAAGTGTATGAATTTTTATGTTGACATTTGCTTCTGTTTATTTACGTCTCCCATCTTAAATAATATGGCGACCTATACATTTTAGACAATAATTGGTAATTCTAAACTTTATCAAATGAAAATAGATTCAATGTTTGTACTTTAAACCATAAAAATTGTTAGGGTGAAAAGACTTTAATCCTCAAAATTTGTATACAAATATACATATTTTGGTTTCCAAATTGATGGAGCAAAGACCTACTATACCTTAAAAATATAATTATATGACATAACTGTCGTATCTTTTCCAAAAATACTTGAAGTCCACTAAGTCAATGGTCATATCACTAATATGAATTAAATGCCATCCTTTATCAGGACTTGCGTAGCGTAGTGGTTATTGTGCTAGTGTCAGTAGAGAATGCTACTCAGGATTTTTATTGCAAGGCCTCGAATTTAATGCTTACGTCGCGGGTTTGAATCTCACTGTGGGACGTAGAGACCGGTCCTTAGGATGAGACCGTATAAACCGAGGTCCCGTGTCGCTGTAGATGCTGGCACGAAAAAGATCCCCCCTGCTCAATGGCCCTGAGTGCCGAGTATAGGACAAAATTTGCATCACTCCATCGGCAAGTGGTGGCGTCTCCAAAATGAGTGAAAAATTCTCGAGAGAGATGTTAAACAATATACAATCAATCAATCAATCTAATCCAATGGATACCACATTATTTTTTTTTTAATAAAAAATAACATTTTTAATTTTCCTCAGAATTTTTTGTTTATCGTATCAATAATGAGAACTTTACTTTAAATATTAAATTCACAATTTAAATATGAATTGTATATATCTGAAACTAGTGAGTATTTTGCACGCTAAGTTCTCCCATCTACTTTGAATACCTGTATCATCGATTTACCAATGGGAACTAGTATTCCGGAGACAAGCAGAAAGACGGACAGGCTTTGCGCTGTTCAAAAGATAATAAAATGAACTTATTAGAACTGAAGGTTGCATTACAGACTTACTCACTATAACCTAGACTTCTACAAATAACACCAGCATCTCTATGGTCCCAGTCATCATCACAAACTGTTCCCCATTCACTGTACTTGTAAACTTCTACTCGTCCTTGAAATTCTAATTGTCTTGAAAGTCGTATAAGTGGTGCTAAAATATTATAGATACAAATTTAAGATGCATAAGCAAACTTCGAAAAAGCACAAATTAATGTAAATTACCAAGCTCGAAAAAAAGAATTAGGCTAATAATTATTTCGAATGATTATTTATCTTAATCTTAATTATAAAAATATTTTAAAAATTTCGTTTATTTGTGCTCTCTAAAGTAAACAAGAAGTATCTGTTAAAGGAGGTTAGTCTAAGGTTAATAAAGTTTAGCGCACAAGAAGTGACTTATTATTTGTCTTATAAACACGGACCTCCAAAACATCGGAGGTGGGATCAGTTATCATGGAAGAGTGAAGATGCCCTGGCGACCAGACAAACCCGCCGTGTGCTCTCTGTCATGATCGGGAAATAACGGAAAATCCGTCGTCAATTCAGTGAATGAATAATGGACTAACAATTAGTATGAAAAACTCCAGTCAACATTTGACTCAATGATAATTGTATTTCCTGACAAAGTCATTGTATCGACGATAGAACTTACGAAATGGTGACTTTAAAAGAGACTGATGATATTTGTTTCATCAAATTGTTTGTCAATAATTTACCTCGTACATTGTTCATACGTAGAGCATGCTCTTGCGTATAGAAGTAATAGAGAAAAACCATCGACGACATAAATATGCCACTCAATGTCCCAATTCATTCAAAGTTATTCCCCATTTTTACACTCTAACATTGTACACGTACAGATTGATTAATGAGTTTTGATTTAAAAAAAGATTCCTAGATCTGTGCAAAATAACCTTTTTTTAAAAAACCAATAGGAATACCAATGATTAAAATAAACCCTCTCCAAATTCAAAAGACTAAAATTTTCAGAGTATGTCATTAGTGAGGTCAAGCTAAAAGACTTTTTTCAAAAACAGAACACATGTTTAAGAACAAAGGTTTATTTTTAAATGTCAAATGTATGCTGTTTATTATAATTGGCAATATGGACTATCTTGAAAAGTACGTCAAAGTGGAGTCCAAAAGGTCACGAAATTGGTTATCTAAACCCGTAATGTCAAGCAATTAATGTGCAAAGTTTTCAAGATACTCCAGGTTAAGTGATCTACACCTTGACAAGTGTCGCTAGCTCTCCAAGCGACATATAATATGAAAATAGATTGGGATCGGTACAACAAATGAAATATATGTTTTCCTATAAAAGGTAGGTTGTTTCCAAAAAGACCTTGTTTAAAATATCTTGCAAATATACATTGACTATTATTTGGTCGAAACTATTAACTTATAACATATCTACTCTAGAGAGCTTAAATATCATTCATTTATAACATCTGAAACATAATCCTCAAATGCGTTCATGCTTTTCAAACCTCTCAACTACAGTTTTTTTAAGCTCATCATAATGGATGAAGTAAATATAGTTATCAATAAAGTATTTTAAAAGGTCCAAAACTTATGAAACCCTGATCTTTCATTTTTTCATAAATATTGTGAATTTTGTGGAAGTTTACTCCAGGCAATAGGCTAAACATTTAATAAAAGACCTTGACACTTCGTCAAAATGGATTAAAAGTATCAGATGTATGTTAAAATCTCTTACTGAGCGATTGAGGGGCAATGAGAAAACCACCTGTCCTTCTGTTTCATAATTCAGATGTGAAAAAAAATTAAATAGCTTACATGATTAATATGTATTGGTCCCAGTTGACAAAGCAGGTTACAACATTATCTTTGTAAGGCTCATTGTTTGAATCATATTTTGGAGGAACTGGGACTTAATCCATCTTTTACCCAAAAAAACCCCTTTCTTAGGAGAAATTATTGGCAAAAAGAATGATCAGGCCTTCAAACAATCTGTTCGAATTTGGATATCATTTGTACAAACTAAATTGATACACAGATCATTCAAAAGTCACATTGCTTGGCATGTTCGACACATTTTTTGGTCCTTAATTTTGATATTTTGACTGTTTGTTGAATTTTTTTGATTTGTTATGCTTAATGGCGTTGAAGCTTAAGTACTTGGGGGATCAACATCTCATTCAAGAAAACAAGACGCAGGATATGGCATTCGATTTTTATTTTATTCCATACATTGCTATTTTTAGTGATTAGACTTCAAATGGAATA